TTCTCTTTCTATTTCATCCAAACTACAGGTCCATTTCTGCTGCCACTCACCCCCAGGGTGGGACTTTCCTCTTCAGTAGGTCATTCATAGGGCCACAGCCAGAATCACGCTAAACTAATCCGCTCAGTGTTTCTTTTTCAAGGTGACAGCACAATTAACTGTCACAGTGATTGATTTATTTTTAAAATTATATTTCTAATGAAGAGTTTCAGTGTTGATGAAACTTGAAGGTGCAGGATCCTGGTGAGAAAACTGTCACCGTTGGTCAGGAATGAAGGTGCAGGTGGCAGAGCGGAGAGACCTCAAGTGCTACACCTGTGTGAAGGCAGGGACATTGAAGCAGAACCAGATTAAAGTGGATGGAGAGACAACAGAGACAGTACAGAAATAAGCTCAGATGCCCGAAGAGCTTTCACACTGCAGTGTATGCTTACACTTCACAACAGCGAAGCATCTTCATATTTATAAACTTTTCATTACTTTGACTTCATCAAATATAAATTTCTGTGTCTTTAGTAATTTGACATTTGGGTTATGAAGATAGAATGCTTTATCTGTTAAAAACTGTGCCTGGGGTTTAACTAAAAAGTGGGAGAAGTAAAAATCCCCATCACGGGACTAATGTACAACACGTGAAGAGCACAATTTGCTTTTTTGTACTGAAAGTGATATTCTTTCTGGTTTTCAGTTTTGGTTTTGTTTTGTTTTGCTTTGTCTTTTATGGATAATCAAGAATCTCAACACATATGGCACAAGGCAATTTTACCACCTTGATCAAATGGAGACTTGCCCTGCCCTGGCGTTTTTGAAAGGGCATAGTGGTAATTGGTAGAATAATTGGCAGGTTTCACCAATTGGACAACTGTGTAGAGAGAAGCTTTCCTATTAAAATTAATTCACCCATGAAGGACCTTTAAATGTGCTGCTTCTGTAGGGTGGATGCTGTGATGATGTATTTTTCTCAGACCCTAAATGAAGAAGCTCTTGGGTTATTTTTCATTCAGAACAAGCTAAGGAGTGATAGGCAACTGCCTGTACAATGGCAACATATGCTTTGTGAGTACTAATTCTCTTTTTGCTTCAGGACCAGATGTCATATCTTAGTAACTGCCAACTAGACTGGTCTTATTAATCATCTAAGGAGTTTTAAAACTTATCTGTACCCAAGATTGCATTTAGAAATTTTGATTCATTATATCTTGACTGAGTATAAAATTTTTCTTTGAAATATGCTCCATAAGAAAATATTTCAAGTTTGAGGATTACCATTCTGTATCAGCGGTTCACAATTTTGGTATGGGATTGGGACAGAAAATGGAAATTTTCAATTAATTCAAGTAAATCACACATTCCCAAGCTTCCAGTCCCTAATGGTAATGATTGCTCTATACCACTTATTAGAAACAGCTATTTATCTATTCAGTTTGCATTTTGTGAGATTGCATTGCCTACAAATACTTAAAGTGGTAATGTTAGACTTTGACAAAATGCACAACTAGGAGACCAGAGATATAGTACAGTGACATAGGGCCTGGCCATCACAAGGTCCTGAGTTTGATTCCTGGTACCAAGGGGGGGGGGGAGAAAGAAAAGAACTAGGGCACTAATCTCCCTGCCCATATAGCTTCCTTTTAGAATTAAAGCACTAAATATTACCTAAATTACTTGATCTCAATGGATATGCGCCATGCTAAAAGATCAGCTGTCTTAGGAATTTATTCTACATTCCTCAATCAAACCCATATTTTCCCTAAAGCAGAATGGTATGTAAAAACCAGAGCCTGGACACTTACCAGCAGGACTGTCTGTAAGAACTAGGTACGCAAGGTTTGATGGAATGGTTAGAAAGTTCTTTAAGAAGTCTTTAGCTGTTTGCAATCTCACTATTTGAATATCCACTTTGTATGCTTTGATACTGTGACTTGAGCAACTGTCTCTAGGATGATAATTGTAATCTATTAACTGGTGATTTTTTACTTTTTTTTTTTTTTTTTGTAGTTCTGTATTAATTGTACCCTTACATGCTTTGTTTTGCTTTGTTTTTTCTCTTTTTCCTTTTAAATAAAATTAAAAAAAAAGAAAACAAACAGTAAAATATCACTGTATCCCACCAAATCTGAATGTGGAGTCATTGAAATTTTCATCACTGCTAGTGGTTATTGAAAGCCAGGAATGTTGTGGGAAATATCTTGGCATGATCTCCTAATACTGAATATATATATATATATATATATATATATATATATATATATATATACCTCACAACCCAGCAATTCCATCCTTCTTTCATTTCTCAAATAATGTCATGCATCTCTGCTCCAACATCCATCTGAAAGAATGGGTTTTACAGCACCTTGCTATGAAAGCCCAGACCTGGAAGCAACCCAAGCAGCTATTGGCAGTGGAATGGGGAAATACATGTTGTACAATCAAACCCCAGGAGGCTAAGGTGCAGGGAGGAAAACAGTAATGAAAGCTAAGTGCAAGTGAATGGTGACCCACACTGCCATAGATGAACGTCAGGAACGTAACAGTGGACAGGAGACAAGCAAGACACAGGATAGCAGAGGCCATGTGCCTGTGAACAGAGACCCCATACTGGCCTGCTTTAATTACATAGCACAGGGATGCACATAGAGATGGGACCGCCATCAAGGAAAGCAAGAAACAGTGATCAAGAACATCATGGAAGGAAGTGTCACAGGGGAGACGTGGGCATACACTTTCTTTAGAATTATCTACTAAACTCAGCACTTAGCTTAATGTGCTTTCCCTTTATGTATGCATGAGATATTTTATAACAACACCTTAAAATATAATAAAATTGAAGAAATATTAAGCCCTCTAAATAGTTGGTACTGGAGAACCAGCGCCCCTGAGATCCGGCCATGGTGGGACTTAGACAGCTTATTCTTCCACGCTCTTGGTAAGCGCCCCCAGCGTGGGCCAGGAGGAGAACCAGCGGCTCCCGTGAGCCTACCTGCACGAGGGCTGAGAATCAAATACACCCCACACCCCATAGCAACTGGGGATAGATGTCTGAGCATCTCTTGGGAGGATGACCATATGCAGTATAGTAAATATGGGGGATTTCCTTCTATCTTCTGTTTGAAGGCAAAGATTGTTTTCAGTTTTGTTTTGTTATGTTTGTTTTGCTCTATTCAATATTCTCTTTCAACTGGTTTTATTATGTTCTGTTTTTGGTTTGATTTTGTTATTCCTAATTGACTGGACAACTATTGTGAAGATAATGAGATATACCATAGTACCTATTACTGTTATCCTGGGAATCTGCTGTGAAATTCTATACCAAGTTCACTGCATTGTCTCGACTGGCTTTGTTCTGTCTTGTTCTGTTGTATTTTTACTACCTTCAAAATAAAATCTAAAAATAAAAAAAAAGAAAAAGAAAAAGAAAAAGAATAATAAAAAAAAGAAGTCCTTAGCTCAAGATGCCACAGAAGCAGAGAGAGCACAAATAGGAAAAAGGGGATGAAATTCAGATCTAAGGTCTAGGAATCAGGATGAAGAAGGAAGTGGCTGCATTTCAATCAGCAAAATAATTGAGGGTAGCTGCTCCAAGGCTGACAACTATTAAAAATTAATCAGAAATGAAGCAAAATACCATAAATTAAGATGGACATTTCAATGTTTAAATCTGTTACCATGTATAGTAGACCCATATCTGTCTGTCTGTCTGTCTGTCTGTCTATCCATCTATCTCTTTTTCTCTTGGGTACTAGGGATCAAATCTAAGTCTTCACTGAGCTATCACATGAATCATTTTATTTGTTTTATTTTTGAGGCAGAGTCTCCCTAAATTTCTAAATTGCCCAGGCTGGGCTTGAACTTGGGATCTTTTTGTCTTAGCCTCCCAGGTTACCTATATTATAGGTAGGTTACCACTGTACCTGGCTAGTAGAGCTATTTTTAATTACTGTTCAGTAGATTCCTTGGATTGGAAGAAAAATTAGTGAAGAAATCATTACAGACAAAGAAAAGCCTTTTGTGTAACTCAATCATATATTTTACCACTCATTCTCTTCTTCATGAAATCATCACACGGAGAGCAAATGTCTTCTACTTGGATTTCTCTTTTACCTTGTCTGACTAATGTCAATCTGCCTTGTTTAATAATATGGCACACTGATTTCCTTTGAGCATTGTTCCTTCCAAGGTAGATACAGGAGTCGCTCACTACTTATACTCTTAAGGTTATTGCTACGGTGATGGCCTTGTTGCCAGTTAGAGAAAATGAGACTGCCTTGGGACAGTTCTTGGATTATGAAGAGACACACTCTTTCCAGTAGAGCTGCTAGGAACAATGGATAAAAGCTTGAAGATATTCTGTAGCTTGCTTGCTTTTCCTTCTTTCTTTTTTTCTTTTTCTTTCTTTTTTCCTTCCTTCCGTCCTTCCTTCCTTCCTTCCTTTTCTTTCTCTTCCTTTCTCTCTTTCTTTTCTTTCTGTCCATCTTTCTTTTTCTTTCTCTCTCTCTCTCTCTCTCTCTCTCTCTCTCTCTCTCTCTTTCCTTCCTTCCTTTCCTTTCCTTTTCTTTTTCTTTTTCTTTTTTTTTTTTGAGGGGGGCAGAGATAAGATTTATTGATGGCTTGCTGAGGACGGGCGGGGTAGTGGAAGCTTTCAGGAGTGCAAGGCCCACCACTCCTCCAGGAGATCGTGATTCGGGATGTATTTCACTTCTCAACCATCAGGAATGAGCGCTTATGGGCCCCCATATCTTCAAATTCGTCTGCCCTGAACTTGGTGAAACCCTGTTTCTCGGAGATGTAGGTCTTCTGGCGCCCAGACAACCTGAACTTGGCCCCGCCAGGGCCTCGATCACTTGCTCCTTGTTCTGCAGCTTCATGAAGATAGACATGGTGAGCTGTCCAAGGTGAACCCTTGCCACTGTGCCCTGGGGCTTCCCAAAGGCACCCTGCATGCCAGTCTGGAGCCTGGATTGGGGTGGCAGTCGGTCAGATACAGGGACATGCCCCAGAAGCAGGGTCTCCAAGGTCCCTTGGGGCAGCTCCTACGAGCAACAAGCTGCGTGCTCCACCGAGGAGGCTGCTGCCGCGGCCACCGCACACCACACACCAGCAAAGGCGCCCAGTCGGCTTGACCGACTGCAGCTCCGTAGCTACCTTTCCATAAGAAATAAACCTTTCAACAGATGGACCCACTGTGAGGGAAATGAAGCCTGTAGTTTAAGCTCCTGAGCTCAGCCATTTCTCAGTGATGAGGTCACCACGGACTCTCCAGAGATGTGAAAAAATGATCTCAGTCCTCTTTCTTTCTCTCTTTTTAAATCTGGTAAACTTGAATTGGAGTTTCTAATGCCTTCAACAGATAGAATCATGATTAAAATTTCCCGAGGTAGAAAGTTATTTATTGAAAATTATGTTTGTTTAATGGCTCAGATTTAGCAGATAAGAAAAATAAGCCTTGAGAAGAATGTTGATAATAATTACTCGTTTGAAGAGTGGATTCAAGTAAAGGTATTTAAAATAATCATGAGAAAAATGTGCCAAAATATTACTTGAAGTTTACAAATATCAAGGAGATAAAACGAAAGAAGTAGATAATGAAGGAGAAAGAAGCAAGAGAAATACAGAAGACAAGTCGGAGTCTTTGAATTACCTGCTAGGAAAAGCTAGTCATGAAACCATGTGAATGAAGGAGCTTACTTATGTTCTAAAAGTTAACGACTGTTTGTTTCAGCTCTTGTCTCTCATATTTAGACAAAAACATAATCAGGGATGTGGATAATTTACTTTCTACTTAGTAATATTTATTACATGAACAGACAGATGAGAAAAAGTGAAAATATGTTAAATATATTGATGTGCCACCAGTTATTAAAAACCATTTGGAATAGCATGAAATCTTTATTATTAGCTCATGCTGATAGCAGTTGTTAGAATTTTTCTCCCAATATTGAATCTAACTCCAAACAGTCACTTGGTATGAAAGCTCTGGAGCTTGTTGACTTTACAGTGGTGCTTGTATAAGGCCAACACAACACAGTGAGAAGGTGAGAGGACTGGTGAATGTTAAGGAAAGTGGCTCGGCTAAATTTAGTCAACTCATTCTTCATCCTACTTGAGCTGTCACTAGATTAATAATTTGTGGCAGAAGTCTCAGCCTGAGGCTGTTCATGTTCATTGCTTGGGTTCAGACATATCCATACACGCCTGCAGAGTTGGTAAGAAAACTAAAAGCTGCTTACAGATAAGCAAATCTAGTGGAACTCACCTCACAGTGCCTCAACACACACAGTAATCTGAGAAGAAAGATTCAGAGTAAACTCTGAGAGTTAGTGTGTCTATTCTTAACTTCTGGATTACAGCTGTATATTTCACAAATACAAGAATAGAGATAGAAAACCTGTCATAAAATAGAACTCATCACCAGAATAAACCATGAATTACATAGAATTTCTATCTTTCTCAAGAAGTGGGAAAGTCATAGGAGAGACACAGAGGTATTGTCATTAACTTCATCAAAATCTACTCAGCACAAGACAGTTTGAGGGGTTTAGAAAGAGCACCTGTGAAATTATGGTCATCAGAAATAACTATGAAATTAAGCAGATTATAGTTGACCTGACAGAGACTAGCATTCTGAAGTAATAGTGGTGGTCCGAGTAGTAACAGCAGCAGCAGCAGCAGTGATGTGTTTAACAGAGTTAGAGTTATAGGAGGAGGTATTTGTGCCCAGAATAGTGGTGGAATATTATCTGCATGGTTGAATCTAGCAGAAGACAAATATTGCGGTACAGCAGAGATGGAGGTATTTCTGTCAGATGGAATGGAGTCCAACAGAAACAAAGCACTATTCATATTGTCAGCCCTGTTTTTTCTCATGGTTTGTAGGCAGAAACATGTGCATACACGTACACATGCACACATACACACAGATTTATAGAGTTAATTCTAACTATAGTTCTATTACAAAGCAATTTTTAATTTCTATGGCGATTGAAAAGCAAAATCCTCCGCCCACCCATTCAAATTAAGTGCTGATTTTCAACCCATTTAGACAAATACTTGTCAGCAATAAGAATATCAGGCGCTAGTCACGAGGAAAAATCTGTTCTTCTCATTCCCTATTTTCCTAGAGCAATGAATTCACATAATGCCACTGTGACATTGTAGAGACAAGTCTATTAAAATATGAATTATGGTTAGTCTTTCTCTTATGTTGGTTCATTTAGCATAATAGTTGCAATTGACCTAAGTAGCAGATAGTTCATTTTATTCTAAGTGTTTGAAATTAAAATAGATTGAACGATTTTCTTGTATATATCATTGTTGAAGCTTTTGTTATACTCTGAATTAATACAAATAGCAGTAATAACACAACTGGATGCACCTGGCATGTATTATTGGATTTATCCCAAGCTGCTTTTTCATAATTGGACATTTATATCTGTGTAACTACAGCTCAGTCATGTTTAATGTTTAAATATCAGAATGTTTAAAAAATCCAACTACCAGAAATATAATCAATAGGCCAGACAAGGAAAAAGGCTGTGATAGCTGGTAATATATCATTTTTCTGAAACGTGTGTCGGAGGCATTTATCAAGAGCCACATAGCCTTCGATCCGGCAATTCCCTTTCTAGGATTTATTCTAAAATTAAGGGTGTGCATAAAGATTCTGCCAAACTCTGTTCATTATAGCAGCATATAGTAAAAAAAAAAGTGTGAATAACTTAAATATCTGATAACAAGCACTTGCAATTACAAAACTAAATTTCAAATTAATTTGATCATACTTTCTGTTTCCATCAAAATGCAAATACAGAAGTTGACAAATTTTTGTAGTGGAATGAGGTTTTTTCAGAAAAAGGACTTTTGTTAAAAGCCACCCTAGGGTCTCCTCATCGTTATTCCAATCACATCCTCTCCAGCTCTAGACATCACCACCGTTTGAACTTTTGGAACAGTTACTTCTTTGTTCTGCATTGGTTTTATCATCCAGTCACTCATTCTTGGACCCCACAGTTTAGTTTCATTTGCTAACATAATCAGAAAAACAATGGAATATCACTATATCTCCCGAGTCTCTTGTGATTAATTTCTCTTGTGACTTTTACATGATCTTGTCCTTACAATTTATCTATCAATGCTACTGTAACTATTTTGACCTGTAGAGCTTTCTGTGGTATGTATTACATAGGTTACATGGTTTTGCTGTGCTTTGTCTTTTTTTCTGGTCTCTGAATTTCTTGCAAATACTGGATGCAAAGTCATTTTCAAATTTAAGTCTAATACTTTTAGCAAGCCTATGAATACTTGGTTTCTTTTATTAATAGATGTTATTATCACAGTTATTCACATTTTATGAGGCTAGTAGTTATTGTTAATGTTGAGCCCGACTTATTTGGAATTGTCCATTAGTCATATTCTATCAATCTCTTTAAAATTTATTAATTTAAAATCAATTATAAAATTATTTATTGAATCTACTGTTTGTTTACCAAGTTACTTGTTCCTGTAGGAAAAACAGATTATTTCTCTTATTTTACACTTTTTCCCACACTGTACCTGTTGTGGTTTTTTAGTTCTATTTCTATAAAAGACTTGTGCATAGAATAATCAACATCATTGCTCATGCTAATATTTCTATAGTTAGTGTGGTTATTTAAACTCTTTTCCTTGAAGACTGCTCAGGGAGTTCTCATCAGAAAAATAATCAAACAGCTCTTTGAATATAGATACCTGTAGTGATCTTTGTAGTTGAAAGTTAGTTTTCCTTAATAAAAATTCTTGGGTTACATTTTTCTCTGAGCTTTTTCCATAGCTTCTGCTATAAAATATTGAAAAATGAGATGATGATAAACTGATTTTCTATCCTAATGTGTCATGTACTCATTTTTCTTAGATGTTCTAAAATTTTGTTTCTTTTTAAATTTAATATCATGCATCTTCTTTGAGTCCCTTTCTGAATTTTTTTATTTCTAAATTCTACCCGGAATTCTGAACATTTAGAAGACTTTCTTATTTTTATGTCTGTTATTCTTTTGTACTTTGTTTTATTTTCTTGATGTTAAAATTGTGCATGTCATACCTTTTACCATCTAGAAAGGAATACAACTTGTAATGTTATATGAATGAGAGACTGTGGAAAGGGATAAATTTATCATATCAAATTTTCAGATATTTTAAACTAATTTGAAAGACACAAACATAAAATGTCCTAGAAATTATATATTCCTGGTTATGTAATTAATATATTAATGTTGAGGATATGTGTGAAAATTTTGAATAAAGATGTTTTATATGCATGAAATCTATTAAATACAACCAATTATTCATATCTCTTCAAATTTATTCACCCAAATTGGCCAAAATAAACTGTTGGACTTCTTATTACCATTGTTAAAGTGAGGATATGTTCTAAGCAGTCACAGATAAATTTATACATTTTGATCATCTATATTACTTTTAAAAGATTTTGTATGGAAAATCAGCAGCTTTATTCTCTGTTTAGACTTTTGAAATAGTTCCCCTCATTATTATCTTCTTCTTTCAGGTTCTATTGATACTTTTTGTTTAAATGTAAGTTTTGCTCCTCAAAGTTATTTGAAAAATAACTGCTGTAGAAAGTGATTATCCAAAGAAAATTGTTTATTTTTCTATGAAGATAGTTTATGTTTTATAGTGGTTATGAACTACAGCATTATAGTCAATATTAAGTGCTCTTTTTAATAGTTCAACATACCATTTGTCTGAAATTTGGGAGATTGATTTTTTGTGGGATAAGTTATTTTGAACTATACTGAATTAATTCTCAGTTCTAAAGAATATTGATAAATTAATTTATTCAAAATGGAATCAATACCAATGTTTCTGTTAGAAATATCACTCTATCTGAACAATTCTAGGATGTAGTACGAGAAAGATACGGATAGTTTTGTAAAATCCATACAAGGCCATGCACTTAGCTTTACAGAAAAAGTTCTTTCTTACAGATGAAGAAACACAAACAGCAAGGACAGAAAAAAATACACTTCTACACTTCTGGGCTGACTAAAGTTAAAGGCATTTTTGATCATGGCAGATTTCTCTACTGATTCACAATACAAGAAGTAAAAAACATTCTTATAAATCCAGGAATACTTAAC